AACGTGTATAGATAGAAGCATCAAAGTATAAAATTGGCAAGTAATGTCACAATCATTCCACTTATACAAGAAAATATCCTTGCTCTCAAGCAAGAAAATATATCGTACCTAGTTGTTAAGCTATGTCAAATTTAGATAATTAGCATAATCCAAGAAATTTGCTTTTTGTGCAGTTGGGCTTAATTTATTAAATATATCAATTTCTAAAATCTAACTGGTCAAACTTACTTTTGCATTCTCATTTAGTTTTTGATGTTAAAAACCCTTCTTATTCAAAAAATATATCTGCTGCATGAAAGTCAATTTGGTTGGAAGCTTTCACGCTAATTTATCAGGCAAAGAAAATTTCTTTTTTCTTGTAGTTTGACTTAATTTCTTTAAAACTATCAATTGCTATAAACTATCTGGTTAAACTTATTTTGGATTCTTGTTTAGTTTTATTGGTTGATAACCCTTCTATTACTTAAAGTAAAATTTGCTCCATGACATTGGTTTGGAAACCTCACATTAGTTTTATTAGGCCAAGAAATTGTCTTTTTATTGTAACTTGACTTAATTTCTTAAAATTATCAATTTCTAAAAGCCATTTGGAAGAAGTTATTTTCGCAATTTTTAATTTTTTATCTTGAAAACCCATCTTATTTCATAAAAATGAATATCTCACAAAAATAATACAACCATTTTGATTTTTTTTTTGTAAGTGGGAGGTCTTGAACCCAAAATCTAATACTTACAATTTTTCCCACCTTATTGCCCAACCCAATTGTCCCCCTAATACATCCATTTTGGTGTTAGACAAATAGTCTGCAAATTATAGAAATAGCAGAAAGTAAGCTTATTTACTTCAATAAATTATATTCCTAAAAATAAATCAACAATTAGTTTCTCAGGAAATTTACCATTATTTTTTTTCCTAACAGGGGAAGGGTGAAATTTAAGAAATGGGGAGAGACTAAAACCCAAGATCTCTAATTTTTGAAATCTCGACTTTAGCCATTAAACCAAAACCTCAACCTTACCATTCATTCAGAAGAAAATTTGCATTTTTTGCACCAAAAATTCCTTGCTCTCAAGATTAAATAAAAAGTTTTCTTTAACTATTTATCTCTATTTTCTTTGTTCAAGAGAAAGCTTCAAACCTTATAAGGAAAATGGAATTTAAAAGTGGATTCAGAGACCTCATGTTGATAAGATGGGTCTTGAGGACTTCTCCAGTTTTCTAAAACATTGACACAAAAATTTCCATAATGCTTCCAAGCAATTACATTCCAATTTAAGATTTGAATAAAATTAACTCAAACTCACAATATTTGGAAGGAAAAAAATCATGTTTGAAGCACACCAAAGTCATTCAAATCTATTGTGCGACTATTATTCACTAAAACAAAAATGACCTTTAACGGCATTTAAAGGTGCCAGTATAGATAATCGAATCTGACACTTTACCTTTCCTCACACCTCAGACGAGTGTTATCCTTTCCAATGTAGGGATAGGCTCATATATTCAAACGTGTCAGGAAAACTAGGCTGTTATAACATCCCATCTGCCAACAAAAATCCCTTTTCTTGATAATTGAAAGTGTCAGGATAGCTATAATACAACATAGGCTATCGAATTCTATGATGACACTTTTAATTGCCAGGAGTTTTTTTTTTTTTTTTTGATATAGAAGCGACCTGCAGGTAGTGCTCCCTGCTATACATTCCGTCAATCAGAAACCCAAAGGATTTGTAAAATTATCTCAAAGAACAGAATGCATATAAAAAAATATGCTATGATGCAAAAATCTAGAAACATCAAACTTGAGCAGCACCATGATTATGAGAACTGAAATTGCCAACTCCCATAAGCAAGAGGAGATTTGTCATCATGTTTCATACATCAAAAGATTCACAGGAATGATTCATATTTATAACAGATGAGCACATGACTAGTAAGGTTAATGGCCACAAGGAGTCCGTATAGATGTCCAGACATGCCTGACAAATGGTAAGCTAATGAGAAGGAGCTAAAAGCGTAACTAGCGTTCATTTACATGACATGAATTACATATCAAGAAAGTAAATCGACTCTCAACAGCTCACTTGTATCTTGTAGGCTGAAAGTTCTTCTATCAAATGCTACTGCAAAACAGAGGAAGAACAAGATATAAGCATGATTTTCACAACACAAGACTGCAGGACCAAGGAAATGGAAAGATAAAGGAGTATATATGGAACAATCAATAATGTTTTCATGGTTTTTAATGCAAATAAGTCTCAAGGACCCTATCAAGAAAGAAATTTTTCTTCTAACAATCTACTGTCATCTACACAAATGTTGAGCACTAGCAAGAAAACACAAACCAGAATGCTTATCCGGAACCAAGGAAGTACATTATTGTAGAATCAGTTATGAATCTGTCACAAGAAAGAGAAGTATCACGGTTTTAGAAGCTGATAGATAGATTGTGAGCGGCCTAGTAACTATCAACATAAGTTCATAAGGCATAGTGGTTTTTACCCATTACATGCTATTTACTGATAAGAAGATTAATTGCATACGGCATAACAGCAATAGGCATCATAGTAAGACTTACATTTAGCAAGTGGCTATGTAACCATTTTTTGGTCCTCATGTGTTGCAGCCTGATGATGGTACCACCTTTGATTGTATCCCCTTGTTGGGCATTGGTATCTGATACAGGTCTAACAATCTGCAAGCCAAGTTTAATCATACCTAACCTTAGAAAATTATGATGATCTAGAAAAAAATAGATACTAGAAAAAGAAACATACCCAATAGCTGTTTGAGTCATCAACGTCGGAAAAACCAGTGACGGACTGTTGCCCACTACCAGAGCCATATGGTACATCATGCGAATGCAGCCTAAACTTTGTTCTCTCATGCATCAACTTGATCACTGACCCATAAGTAATCTACCAAAATCACATATGCTGAACAAAATAAGAATGACTTAGCACAAAGCCCCATTATACAAGTATTAGAACTCAAAGCATCATACACCATTTTTTATTTTCGCCACACAACAGAAACCTCAAACTATAAAACAGGGAAAAAAATCAAATTTAATTCATAAATCAGCTCTTTAAAAAACCCAAATTGCAATTTTTAACTGACACCCAGCTAGATTTTTAACAAAGATTATTGAGGCATTTCATCAAACATGTCGAAGGCTATTACTAATTCTACACAAACAACTCCATTTCCTCTTTCCCTGTCCTCTTTTAGCTTAGAAACCTCTGAAACGCTAGAATTTATAACCATCACATGCCTATAATAGCACAAACTTGGTCAAAATTTTGAACAAAAAATAACTATAAAATAACTTTCCGCATACAGTTTCAACAAATAGGGGGAAAAGCACACACACAAAGATGCACCGCATATCTGTGCAACTACAGGAATGCAAAAACCACGAATTTGAAGTAGTAAGTGGGCTTTCAGTTTACCTAGACACCTTCGGAAGCGACAAAGACGGGGGAAAAGGTGAAATCGGAGTCAAGGGTAAGAAAAAGGAAAATGGCGAGACCGAAAAACGAGATTGCCATTAGTAAAAGTAAGCCAATGAACCAGGTAGTTTGCCAAAAGAGCAAACTAAGATCAGACTTGGAAGACGATTCTCGATAAACTATTCAAGTCATGGGAGAAATTTGTTGAGCCGAATTCGAAGAAGATGATGATGATGACCCGGGTTTCCTTCGAGAGAGTTTTGTTGCTAATGCTGCTATTGGCTGCCTGAGGGAGCCACGGTTGAAGCTTTATGGAAATCGGAGCTCCAATCACAGGCTCCAATGCTTGGAAGATCCTAATGATGAAGATAAAGGCGGGGCTAATCGTAATCGGAATCATGTGGGGACGGGTACGGATGTCAAAGATGAAGGGCTTCTGGAGCCAGGCGATGAGGAAGTGAGTACCCTCTCCAATGGTGTCATCGATGACACCGTGGAACCGGTCGAAGAGGACAGCCCACTGCCCTCCGTCGACAATGTAGATGGAGGAGTTGAGGACGGTGGCGCCGATACCCAAACCAACTACGTCGGAACGAAACTGCTGCCTGGCTGCTACCCATTTTTCCCACCAACTATGTTGGAATCTGACAACAGAGACAGAGAGAGGGGGAGGGGGGGCTGGAAATGGTGGAGCCGGAAAATGAAAATTTTGAGCAAGTGTTTTGACCAAGTGTTTTGGCCTACAGAATGAAAATTTTGAGCATTTTAAGCAAATGAATCTTCTGCCAAAATCAAACGATGCTGTTTTGTGTCTTTTTTTTTTTTTTTTTTTGTACATCTCACATTTTCTCAAGTGTCATGTTAGGTAGTCTAAAGGCACATTACTATTTTTATATCTGATAAAATAAAAAAAATTAGAGTATATATTATTGAGTTGGTAATAAGTATCATGATAGGAGTGCTATAATGACACAAACCAACAAGTGTCCTTATAGGAATGTGAGGAAAGGCATTAATTCAAAGTCCAGTACAGATAGATACATATGTAGAGAGAGATCTCAACTTGAGAAACGTAAAATGAACCTCCTCTATGATAAATCGTTGTTTGACTTGACTGCCACCATCATGGAATTTTTTTTTCCAAACGCGTTTTCTTTTTCCTCTCCTTATATCAGTGAATTTCTACGAGAAAAGGAGTGAAGGACTTCAAAGAAATTTCTGTGTTCCAGAGAAATTAAAAGATGCCCAATTCATACGTTAACACACGACTTTGCATTCACATTATGTTCTATCATTGTTTAGTCTAAGTAAACTCCAAAGAAAGTCAAGCTTAGCAAGTTCTAAGGAAATACTAACAAATGTCCATCCATCCGAATAATGGAAATCAAGGCAGATCACAGCCAAATGGAGAATCCATATATATATGACGAAAAAAGAGAATGTCTATCCTAACTTGGCTCAATTTCTATTCTAAGCCAAGACAAACCTATTTCCATATTATCTTTTTGCAAGTTTATAAAACCAGAACAAACTCTCTAAGCCAAAATATGGATGTAAAGCAGAGATTACTTTATGCCATTTTTCTTTCTAGTCTGCTTCTGTCTTCCATGTCATCTTTGACAGCCCAAAAAGAAAATTATAATTCAACTGCCTATCTTCCTGCTTCCTGGATCAACCAGGCCTCTGAGTCCCTGATGATCAATAGCACAGGTGGTAATATAGTGATACCCATCCTACTGAGAGGAAGTGATGGACCAAGGTATGTGTGCGGCTTCTACTGTAACATGGAAGGTAATCAATGCGTCTTTGGAGTCCTCATTTCTCAAAGTAGGCGGAGTAATGATGAATATCTGCAGTCCCCAGAATTAGTCTGGTCTGCTAACAGGAATAATCCAGTTCACAGTAATGCAACATTGCAACTTAGGCAAGATGGAGATCTGGTCTTGGCAAATTCTGATGGCACCTTAATATGGTCCAGCCATACAAGAGGAAAGCTGGTTTCGGGATTGAAGTTGACAAAAATGGGAAACCTTGTGCTATTTGGCCCCAAGAATGAATCCATTTGGGAGTCTTTTGATCATCCCACCGACTCGTTACTTCTGGGACAGAAGTTGGGTCCTGGGCAGAAGCTGAGAGCTAGCGATTCAGCAACCAATTGGAGTCAAGGTCGGCTTTCTCTTGCTGTTGGCTCTAATGGTTTATCAGCTTATATAGAGTCTGATCCGCCACAAAGATACTATGTGTCTGGCACGAACAGCTATCCTTTTTATGAGTTCCGAAATGGAAGCTTAAACGACCTGACAATTCCTCCTGCATCAGGAGCTCAATTCATAAAGTTTGAGCCTGATGGGCATTTAAAGGTATATCAGTGGAGAGATATGAGATTTGTGGAAGTCATTGATCTTTTGGACCCATATGTTGGTGATTGTGGATACCCAATGGTCTGTGGCAACTATGGTGTCTGTTCAAAGGGTCAATGTGGTTGTATTGAAACAACCAATGACCAAGAGAAAAGCTATTTCAGCCAAATAAATTTCAGACAACCCAATCTTGGATGCTCACGGGTCACTCCAATTTTCTGTGATGACTCCCGTGATCATACTCTTCTGGAGCTAACAAATACATCTTACTTTGCAGTTGATTCAAGCTTAGACAAAGCAAATATGGGAATGGAGGACTGCAAAAGTAAGTGTCTAAGCAACTGTTCATGCAAAGCAGCTCTCTTTTATTATACAGATCAAAGGGATAGTGTTCTAGAAAGCAACGGCAATTGCTTATTGCTAAATGAAGTTTTCTCTATTATTAACAATGAGGATAATATAAGACCTCCTTATAATACAACTGTCCTTGTTAAGGTGCAAGATGTTTACGTCCACTCGTCGTCGTCGTCGTCGTCGTCGTCATCGTCGTCGTCGTCGTCGTCGTCGTCGGATATTAAACAAACCATACTGGGATGTACATTTGCGGTTTTAGCTTGTGTAGTAAGTTTAATCTGCTATTGCCTGATTCTTTTAAGGAGAATATTAGAGGATTCCGAAGAAACTGAGGGGCATTTTCTGAACCAGTTACCAGGAATGCCTACCAGATACTCCTATGAGAAGTTGAAATCAATGACAGAAGATTTTAGCAAAAAACTTGGGCAAGGAGGATTTGGTTCAGTTTATGAAGGAGTTCTAAGTGATGGCACGAAGATAGCAGTCAAGTGTCTTGATGGTTCGGGTCAAGTGAAGGACTCATTTTTAGCGGAAGTGCAGATAATTGGTAGCATCCACCATGTCAACTTGGTAAAACTCATTGGTTTTTGTTTTCATAAATTGCACCGGCTTTTGGTTTATGAATACATGGCTAACGGATCTTTGGATAAATGGATCTGTGGTGGAAAGAACAGCCAATCTCTTCCATGGAATGCAAGGAGAAGAATCATCACAGACATTGCTAAGGGATTGGCTTATCTCCATGAAGACTGCAGTCACAAAATAATTCATTTTGACATAAAACCGCAAAACATCCTTTTAGATCAAAATTTCAATGCAAAAGTTGCTGATTTTGGATTGTCAAAGCTAGTCGAAAAGGATCAGAGTAGAGTTAATACAAGGATGAGAGGAACACCAGGATATTTGGCTCCTGAATGGTTGAGCTCAGTGATCACGGAAAAAGTGGATGTTTATAGCTTTGGCATCGTGATGCTGGAAATCATTTGTGGGCGGAAGAATGTGGATTGGTCTAAGATCGAGGAAGACAAGCATTTGCTTAGTATTTTCAAGAGGAAAGCAGAAGAAGAAAGACTTCAAGACATGGTCGACAAGAATAATTTGGACATGCTAATCCACGTTCAAGAAGCTGTGGAGATGATGGAGATTGCTGCATGGTGTCTGCAGAGCGATTTCACCAAGAGGCCTTCAATGTCATTGCTTGTTAAGGTACTGGATGGTTTGGTAGCACCTGAAACCAATCTGGATTATGATTTCACAAAGCCATCCGTAGTTGAAACAAGAGCAGCTGGTCATCTAGTAATTGAAGCTGATAATATTGCTAGTCAGCTGTTGCCTTCAGCTTTATCTGGACCGAGGTAGTTGAAAAACTTCAACTGGAATGGGAGTTAGCACATAACTTCTTGTTGTTACTCTTAATAGCGATTTGTTCTTAAAGATGAACAGGCGTTTTGCTTTGGTCTTGAAATTTGTTTGGAAAAGGGATTTCTCCGATTGCAGGCTGAAGTGGACACCCAAATTTTGGTTCATTTGTTGCAACCTCATGTCTCCTCCGGCCGGCCTTTGTGCTCTGTCTTGGCAAGGATTCGAGCTCTTCTACAGCAGTTACATTGCTTCGGTACACCATGTTTATCGTGTGAAGCAAATTCAGCTGCAGACTCTTTAGCTACTTTTTCCCTTCAAGGATTTCATATGTTTTCCTATGATAATGGCCAGATTAAGACTAGGTCTATTATTTAAGTTTCCCATGTGTGAGATTAATATTTGTAAGGGACTAGTACTCCTTATTTATTTTTTAAGTTATTCCTGGTGCTAGAAGTCAGGCCTATATTCGCTCCTAGTTCTATTTATTTTCATTAATAAAAAAAGTGAGTAAAAAGTAATCTACATGTTTTACATCATTACAGGATTTTATGGTTTTAACCTTAAAACATCATTTAAATGGTTCCTTTTGCTGCCATCTTTAAATTCTTTTGTAGGCACTTTCTTCCAATTTTTTGGTATTTAGCTTTTGATACTTCATTTGTTTTTTATTGGGTTTAAGGCTTTATCATTAAGCCTAACACTCAGCAAGCCCTTTAATCAATCATATTGAAATATAACTTATTTGAAATTCTTTAAAAAAAAAAATCAAAATTTAAGTAAACTAAACAGTACACCACTGATACTCCGATACTAATCAATACATTGTCGTTCAACATTCAATCAATTAATCCTAGATGACTATGGGTTTGACCTGTAGTCAATCTTCAACTCAAACTTGTGTAGTGGGCGATCCAGAGTCTTTTTGACGCAAGAAATTTAGCCAGCTTTCATTGCACAAGTCTTTTGAACAACTCCTAGCCATGTTTTTAAGTTATAATGGAACTTGAATTGGCAGAAAAATACACTTTTATAGGCTAGAATTTTCAATTGTTAACCTAGGAAAGTTTCAATAACCAGAACAGAAAAGCTAAAAAGTTTATTTCAACAGAAGAGAAGCAAAAAAATTTTATTATGTTGGGAATGGTTCCCTATCACCTCACCAACTATTGTATAGTCATCTCTATCCACATATTTGCCTCTTCTTTGATTCTTTAAGTGGTGACACATCTGAAATATTAATTAGTACTTGATCATTGAATTTAATTAACAAGATTTAGAATCAAAAAATGGTGATTCTCTGCAGTTTTTAAGATATTGTAAAGCCAAAAAATCCAATCCAAGCCAAACAGGGTATGACTATGTATATTTTCCTCCATATAAGTATTTAAATTTGCATTATACAAAGCTACAGCAAAATTCCATGCGAAAGAGACAATCTATTTTCTTTTAAGGTCTGACTAACGAGTGCCTATTGAACACGTTAAGATATATTTCAGATGTAATATTTTAAAAAATGTAAGATTAATTGGAGAAATTAAATAAATACAAGAGAGGGTATGTAAGATTAAATAGGAAAGTATATAAATCTAAGGGAGGATTATAATTACTATTATGTGCATACACATGATAGGTTAGATGAATTTTAGGCGTGTTAACAAGTGCATATTGGGCACCCATCAGAGAAATACCTTTCTTTTATTAATTTCGCTTATATACAATGAAGAAGCATACCTATTTCCCATCTGATTCTATTCCAAAAAGAAGTACACGATTTGTTTCTATTTTTTTTTTCAATGCACATTTAATTTCACAATTTGTGCATCTGGTTATTTGGACTATACCTACCCATTTTAGATACGTGTTTTTATTTAAAAAGAATTTTTTTCTGGTGACAAACTGAAAAAAAAAAAAAGGAATAAGCCTGGAGTATAGATGTTCAGTCTTGAAAGCATTCGAATTTTGCTACTTAATTAACTGCCTCATTTTATATAGAAATCCAAAGGCATTATTATTACCATCACTAAAGTGGCATTCGAGTTACTTTTTATGTGTTTTATAGACTACTCTCACGTTTCTTCCTCATTAAATATTTCTTATAACAAATGTACCAAGGAGGAAACACTAAACCATGATTACTTCTAATAAGTTCCATCTCTTTTTCTTTTAGTCTGTGCAACACCAAGTACCCAAAAAAAAAATATACAAAAAATAGTCTGTGCAATACCGGATTTACCTTTCCCACTAGTCATATCGTATGTCTATTACCTCTAGCGAATGCATGGAAACATAATAGACTTCCTTTACAACAATTATCAGACAAAATTTTCTTTTTTCTTCCAAGCAATAATTCATGGTATTAGTTTTCCTTTCAGAAACTAATTGTTATGTAATTAATTTTTGTCTTTTTTTACCTCTCCTATTACTATTGTTAGACTCATAATTCGAACTCTAGACCTAGCAATGAAGAGGATTAACAGCTATTCCTTGATCACTTAGCAACCTAATAAACATGTAGTTAAATGTGCAAAGTTTTTGCCCATTTTGTTTTAATGGTTTTTGTTCCGCAATTTTCTCTTAAAGAGCTGATTTTACCGATGTACTACATTGACATCTAGACTTTGTCTTTTCTCCTATGAATATTTGTTTATGTTAGACCGTAGGATAAGTTACAGTAACTTCCAAATAGAAGCAATATTAGCAGTAAAGAATCAAGGCCATGGGTTAAGTATCAATCTCTGCCACCACATGGATAGAGTTATGGTGTAGTTAAAGTCAATGGATATCTATGTTACATGTACCTTTTCTTTTTCTAAGTTTAATTTGCTTTCAAGTTCATATTCTGATTAAAATTTGAAGTGAAAATCTTTCAAATAATATTTAAGTTCAAAAAGTGCTACAGTAATTATTCTAAATAATATTTCAAATAATACTCTATCCAAAGACACTCTTTCTTTCTCTTTGAGTTTAGAAACTTCGAAAGAATTTATTCTCGAAATAACCTCTTAACTAATTTTAAGTACATCCAAAATTATTTTGAAATTGTTTACAGGACAATATAGAATAGAGAATTTTATAAAATTTAAGCGGTATTTGGAGGGAGGGGGGGGAGGGGGATGAGTGATTACAATTGATTTTGTATCAATTTCAGGAGGATGAGTGCTTAGATGGCAAAGTATCTCCATTTCCAGAGGTAAGCAATATGGAGCCCGTGATGACATTGACAATTCATTTTCCCCATTTTTTCTTCAGATTAACTTCTTAAAAGATATTTTCTAATCTAATGCTATATCATACTTCATTTTGCAACAAGGGGTACAAAAGTAATGCTGAATATAAGGAGAGATACCTAAACACATCAGGGACAGAAAACTCTGCAGGTAGTTTATAGTTGTGTTTTTACTACTGATTATCATGATAATCAGATTCTCTAGCCAATAAAAAGCGACCAAATCTCATAAAAAATGCATGAAATTTATCTAAAGAAAGTCATTAGTTCTTGTTTGAAGGCCATTTATATCTTTACATGAAATCTTTCAGACCTTGTTGTACTAAAAGGACAGAAAACAGATTTCAGAGTTCCAGGTCATACCAGACCTCCAATGGCTTGGATTGTTTTATTTGGAATGCCAACTAAAATTTTGAAAAAGTTTAATTTGAAGAGAATACTGATACTTGTGAATGTTCCTATGTCACAAAGTAATTTTAAGGGTTAATTCGACTTTACAGCCTTCAACTATACTTGAATTTCTAAACTTTAAAATTAGATATTTTAGTCCCTAAAGTTTGAAATTCTATCCCACTTTAATTCATAAAGTATAAAATCTATATCACTTTAATCCTCAAAAAATAAAATTTGTCCCAATTCAATCCATAAAGTTAAAAATTTGCCCCACTTCCATCAATGATTTTACTTAAGTGCGATAAACTCTTTGTAGGGACTAAAGTATTCCATTTTGAAGCTTAAAAATTAAAGTAAAAATGCAGGGATAGTTGAAGGGTACAAATTGAAATTAACCCTAATTTAACGGCCAAAAATACACATTGACAATATATTATACCAAAATATATGTAGATGTCATATGTCACAATTTGAAGGGCAGGACCGGCAGCTTCTTCAATTGTCTTCACTATAGGCTTGCTGTTTCATTACAAAAACAAAAGGAAGATTTGAAGGGCACTATTAATACTTCAAAAAGAGATAATTGTTTTCTTTTTTTTTCCAATAAAGGAGGAATGATACTTAAAAAACAGGAAAGGGTAGAGAGATTTGAATTCAATACCTTTAATTCTTAGAGTCTCAACTTTTAAAAAGAAATAATTGATATGACACGTAACCGTTCAATATTCAAGAGAAATATGTCGATAGTTTTCTATCATTTATACTAAACATACTTGGACAGTCTTCAACCTTGCTACCAAGTGTACAAAAATGGGATGGAATCTTCTAATCTTCATCAAGTCCGCTAGGAAAAGTATCAGTAAGTCCATGCAAAGAGAAACTTTCTAAAGTGGTCAGCACTTTATTCCTCGTGTGCTTTCTACGCATATATGAACTTAATTTCAACAAGAAATCAATTCCAGCCCTCTTCAATCCCAATAATCAAACAAAGTCTGGTAAAAGAAGACTAGAAGAGACAACAATGGCAGCTCGATATCAAAATCGTGATTTATTGGTTATCTTGATGTTTCTTCTTTCAGTAGGTACTTCATTTCTTTCCTACCTAAAATAATTGCTTAGTGCACCCAAAAACGTGTGTATATCTTTGGCATCTCTTGATTATCAATTTCTTTACTTGATTCGGTCAATCCCATTCATATAGGCAATTCAAGTTTAAACATTTATCCTACTGCAATCTACACCAAGTAATTCAGTTTTCATTAAACTAGATTTCTGGGGAGTAAACCAATTCTTGAAAGTATCGAATTTTCATATACGTTCACAATTTTCCAAAATGAAATATGGGATTAGATGCATGCATGGAGTTCAACATTTTATT